AAAACCCAGGTTTACACACTCAAAGTCCTCTACATAATATAATTTTAAAAAATGAATAAAATACAGTCACAGACTTTGGACCAAGTATTTAATTTCATTTCCAAGAAACTCTAGGTATAATTATCAGAGACAGTTCAATCTCCTGCTTAAAAGAAAATYGAAAAAGGTATGAATGGGAGTAGGATTCCACACTTTGCCTTTATAGATTTTGAAGAAAAATCAAGTCTCTGCCAGGTACCATGAATTTAAARCTAACAGACCTTTAGGTTTCCCCACTCTGAGAATCACAAGTTTTGCCTCTTCTGTCACTTAGCCAGGATTCACACAAGGCTGGAGTAATTTGAAACCAAATTCAGCAAAACACAAACTGGTAGGAATAGCATCCTTTCTGTAGTGTTCCATGATCTGAAACCTCTGTCTCATCTATGAATAACTTTTCTTGATAAAAGTACCCTTCTGCAAATGACTCAGGATATGACCTACAGCTCATGTGAATTAAATTTGTAAGATATGGAGACCCATAGAAGGGGGATATAACATGCATCTCAATGACAGAAAGATTATTGATAGCTTAAGAAGGGCACAGAAAGCTTTACTAAAGGAGTGTGTGGAACTGAGTGAGATGGCCAATCCTTGCATTTCTTCTCCACCAGGAAGCTGAGCTAATCAATCTAATTATCAAAAACCTCTTCCCCAAAACAAGAGTGCTCTGGTTCAGAAGGAGCAGAGTTAGTAGGCTCAGGAAGTATCTGTGGAGCCAACTGTTTTATCTGCAGCAGTATTTCCCTTGAGCAGCAACTCTCATTTCTGTGAGAGCCCCTGGGTCAGTACCCTTGGGTCTGCCAGGATTCTCAGTGAAATGAAACCAGTGTCATTCTTGATCCAAAACCAGATAAAGCTCACCCCAGAAAGGGACTCAAACTCACTTCTTCACAATGAATCCAAAAAGGTTGCAGGCTGATRGAAACTTATCAACTCACAAGAAACATTTTACCTTTTCCTTTCYGTTTGAATCTACCCTTAACAGAATGGGGCAGAGTCCTTAGAGYGACACACAGACCCAGAAACAGCGGCAAAAACAACTTCTGTGGCATTTTAGTCCTGCTCTGCTCCAGCCCCTGCAGCCAGGCAAACCACAAACACAGGCAACCCCAGAGCCTTTTCTGCCCAGCAGSTGCCTTCAGGTTTCCATCATGACTTCCACCCATGTCTTACTTGCACMCTTTTCTTCTCTCCTTTGCCCAGTTCAAACCCCAAATACAGAGCAAGGAGAAGCCCACTGGTTACTCCCTTGCCAAGGGGGCTCCAGATTGCACATGGGTCCATATAGAGCAGACTTTAAAAATAAACCAATAAAGCCAAATGCTGATCCTTAAGTATCATTTCAGCCCTAGAACAAAGAAGGAAGTCTACTGGAGCAGCCTGTATGCTATAGCACATATAAGAAACATTGGAGATCCTACATATGAGAGGCTTTCTTCACTGAGTTGCAAGGGCCCATGGCAAGGCATTGCACCCTTCAGATCATCCTGAAATCTTTTTTTTCAGCAGCTGGTGACTTCTATTCCTCTCATTCCCAAACTCACACTTCTTGCTAAATAAATGGAACCTTTGCAAATTAACTGAAGTCCTATAGTACAGCAATTTACAAGGGTTCTAATCAGTGTTCTCTCATCCCCGAAAAGTTCCTTGCACTTTTGTTAAACAATAGCATTACTTACATAAAATACACYTTCACAGGGATTGCTTATTGAGCAGATAAAGCATCAGGAGAAAAGAAAAGGAAAGCAGTGTTTATTGTCATAGAAACGTTGCAAGATCAAGGGCTAGGAAAGGAAGTAGCTTCTCCATTTCCATGGACTGGATGTATAGAAAGAATGCAAAGTATAATGAATAGAATAGAATAGAATAGAATAGAATAGAATAGAATAGAATAGAATAGAATAGAATAGAATAGAATAGAATAGAATAGAATAGAATAGAATAGAATAGAAATAATATGATCTTTTCCAGCTGATATGAACCAATGTGGTCCCACTAACTTCAACTAAGAGAAGTCTCAGGCCACTGAAAGACAGTTGCTTCCTGGAGAAGGGATTTTGGTTCCACGTGCAGACAGAAGGGAGCTGCCAGTGAAAGTCTTGGAAAAAACAAATAGATTGCTGCCCAGCTGGTATGGACTGGTGCAGCTGCACTGGCTTCAGACAGGGAGCAAGGCACAACACGATTTGGCCGATAAACAACAGAGCTCAGAAAGAAGAATGGTCTCACTTCCCTATGCTTCAAATAGCTGGTGTTAGGCAAGTTGTGCCCAGCACTGGTTATGAGCATGGTCTCAGAGCCCCAGCTCTCTGAGTTTTATGTTTCCTATACGCAAAGAGGTCATAGCAGGCACAGTGAGTACAGGCAGAGCTGTCACTGGTAGAGTTGTGCTCAGATTTTTGTCTTCATGCTGCACAGGAGCAGCCTTTTCATCAATGGTTTCCTTTCCACTTCCCTACTCGTTTATTCCATTTCTCCAATACACAGAGGTCATAAGGGAGAGGAACTCCAGGTGAGAATCTCACAGAGAGAAAATGCGACAATGGTAGGCTACATTAATATTCTAGTGAGGAAAAATATAGCCAGGCCACCACCCCACTCCCCTTCATTAGAGAGTGTACTGCCCTCCAAGGTAGCTCTTCTTTAGGCAAATCTGTGTAAATTGAGCTGCAGTGAGCAGCTCAGCCCACAATTACTGCAATTAAAAATGCCTTKACTGGCTTTCTTCTTTAGCTTTGCTCTTCTCTGGGTCTCTGCTTCAATTCCCAGGAGAGCTGGACCTGCTGCATATGGGCTATAGCTAGCCAGCAAATAGCTCTAGTTGTGCCACACAGACCCCTGCTCGGGGCTGGACGGATTTGCAACAGCCAAGCACATAAAGCAAGATGCCTGAGGGCTGAGCCAGCTTCTGGACAACCTGAGCTCCAAGGCTGGATCAGTTTTCTRCTCTTCCCCTCCTGGTTCCCGGACGCAGCACTGCTAAGAGAGGGGGCAAGGAGAGTGCCGCAGCTTTGCCCCGGCTGTTTCTCCTCCACCCCGGCTCCCCCCGCTCCCCCTCGGCCACCGGGCTGTCCCGGGAGGGCTGCGCTCCGCAAGCAGCGGGGACAGGCGGGACAGACAAGCGGAGCTCACTGGCAGCAAGGCCAGCTCCGCTCAGAGGAGGGAGCTCCGKGTGCCCGGGAACAGCGGGGCGGGGGGGCTGCTCCAAGCCCTGACGTAAAAACTAAGTGGGGCTGCCYGCTCCGGCTTCTTAAGGAGCGCGGCGGCCACAGTGGACTCGGAGAATCCTGCCCTGCCCGGAGCGCCACGGTAAGGGCGGGGAGCGGGACGGGACGGGGAGGGAGAGGCGGAGGAGTCGCGGCGCTGCCCGGAGCCGCTCGGGACTGCCCGGAGCCGCTCGGGACTGCCCGGCGCCGCTCGGGACTGGCCGGAGCCGCTCGGGACTGCCCGGAGCTGCTCGGGACTGCCCGGAGTCGCTCGGGACTGCCCGGAGCCGCTCGGTGCTGCCCGGAGCCGCTCGGGACTGCCCGGAGCCGCTCGGTGCTGCCCGGAGCCGCTCGGGACTGCCCGGAGCCGCTCGGGACTGCCCGGAGCCGCTCGGTGCTGCCCGGAGCCGCTCGGGACTGGCCGGAGCCGCTCGGGATGCCCGGGGATCCCGCCGGTCCCGGAGCGGCTGTGCAGCCTCACTATCGAGGGACTGTCCGTGAGAGCTCGAAGTTTAGTGACAGCAACAAATTAACTTTTTGATTATTACTGTAAGGCATTATCCACGCCGGGGAGTGGAGCGGGAGACTAAAGTGTAAGGAGAAGCGGGGATAAGCGGGGGGGACGGCGGGAAAAACCAGAACTCGGAAGTGTGAATAGCCCTCACAAACACACAAAACTTCAATGTGTGGACAGAAAGACCTAACGATTGGAGGGCGCAGGGAGGGAATTGCATGGTAAGGGCATGGAAGTATTCACTACATGCACGGACAAGAGATTAATGAAATTGGGCGTTTCCTGAGCATCCCCTCCTGCTCTCAGCTATCAAAAAATACATTATTGAACCTTGTTGAAGACTGGCAGCACAMTGCTGCCTGAGTTTGACCAGACCACAAGTGGCCTTTGCTACTGGCCCTTATTAATGCCATTTGCATCATACTTTCAAGGGCATCCATTCTCATATTAATGGTCTATCGACTCCCTGCCCAGGGCTGTCTCTTTGTTTTGACAAATCCAGAACCTTTGTCTTACCCAATTTTATAACTTAAAAAGTTTATGATAGGTGCTGGGAACCAGAAATGCAAAATCATTACTTCAGTTGTTAGCCTGTGCAAGTGAGATGGGCTCTGTCAAAGTCACAGATCCATCATTTAAAGGATTACAATATTATTATTATTTAGTTCAAACAATGGAATAATACTAAAACAGGCTAATAATACTGTCTGTTGTTGTTCAKGCTCCCCCCCCACTGCTGTCCTATGTCTGTCTCCCCACTCCCATGGTCATATCTGAGATTGCTAAATTTCTTTGAAAACCAGAAACTTGATAAAGTTAATGATGTCCCTTGAAAAAGGCTCAGTAAACAGACAGGTATGTGCATACTGCATGCATGTATACATACATAGGTGTCTCCCCACTGGAAGGGCTCTGATGCATGAACAAGAATGAAGTAGTGACTCACAAGATATTTTGGCTTACTTCTGAGAAAGCAATCCAAACATGCCTTGTGGATTAGGGTAGAGAAGAATGATGTTTTTGGGGATTTTGGGAGAAGCAGGAGGACAGCCCCGTTACTACCAACACTGTCATAAATGACATCCACTAGGCAGAGCAGTGTGGAAAGAGCAAGCTAGACCTCTTTTATTCCTTAAATGCAATGTTCAAACCCAGGGCTGTCAAGCCGGCTCTTCTCATGAGATCCCAACTCAGATTAAAAAGGGACTGTAAGCAGTTGGGGAGTAAAGTCTGAATGCCTCAAAAATGTTCCCAGATCCTGACCAGGTASCCAAACAGGGGGCTAGGTAAGAATATCATTGCCAGGACTGAAATCTCTGAAGAGTCCTTTAGCTCTACAATGAAATATGTTCCACAAAGCTGCCTACTCTTTCTTAGTCTCACACACAGGCTGTGGCTGGGCTACCTTCCATGTATAATCCCTCTGCACATCCATATCATGCCTTTGGCATTTTTCTTCACAGAGCAAGAGAATACTTCATGATCACTCATCAAAGAGACTTTCTACACAAAAAGCCAGTTGATAATCTAGCTCATTAAGAGAAGTAGCTTCCCCACCCACAACAATCAAACTGAAAATGCACTAGCATGAATACTCAGCAGATCAGCACATACATGAAACAAAATTTTGTCCTAAATGCTGATCTCRGATGTTGCTGATTTCCTCAAATGGGAAGTTTTCCATGTGCCAYGGGCTATGCTAAACACACCCCCAAACCTGTTTCAATGTCAGAAATGCTAGAAGCACGATAGAAAATACAAGAGAAGTACAAACTAGAAATGAAATCTGATGGAGACAATTGGGCCTTTCTGTCCACAAATGTTATAATTGTCAGAATTTCAATTCCTGTCCATCCATTGTGGATGTTACTTAGCCAATTTCACATTTTTAATGAACTAACAGTCTGCAATAGACATCTGTACTTTATATATATATATATATATATATATATATATATATATTTCAACACAGGAAAGCCATTGACCTGCTCGAGCAAGTCCAGAGAAGGGCCACAGAAACAATGAAAGGGGTGAAGCAGCTCTCCTGTGAGGACAGGCTGAGAAAGTTGGGGTTCAGCGTGGAGAGGGAGGGGTTCCAGGGAAACCTTGTTGCAGCCTTCCTGTACTTAAAGAGGGCTTATGAGAAAGATGGGGACAGGCTTTTTAGCAGGGTCTGTTGCAATAGGACAAAGGGTGATGGCTTCAGACTGAAGGAGGGTCAATTTAGATTAGATATAAAGAAAAAATCCTTTTACAATGAGGGTGATGAGATGCTGGAACAGGCTGTTCATGGAAGTGGGAGATGCCCTGTCCCTTAAAACAATCAAGGTCAGGTTGGACAGGGCTYTGGACAGCCTGATGTGGTTGAAGATGTCCCTGCTGATGGCAGAAGGGTTGGACTAGAGACCTTTACAGGTCCTTTGCAACCTGAACTGTTCTATGATTCTACATGCATGTATACATGTTGTACAATGCAGTTGCTATGCCATGGCTTTGTTATACCCTCTTTTCAGAACTGTTCTGCATTTTAAAACATAAAACACTCCTGGTCAATGGATGAATTTGCAACCTGCATTAATTAGAACCATTAAAACACATTTTTGACAAAAGTTTTCCATCTGCTGTCCACTGATGCTAATGACTTTGAAGGGCTCATAAAATTTATTTTAAAGGGCTCATAAAATTTTGAAAAAAGCAAAACTGCTTAAAGGCTTAAATTATGTAAAAAGGAATAGATTTTTACAGAAAAAAGGTTAGGGATCTGTAAAGCAAAAAAGGCAAAAAATTTTCAATATTAAGAACTTCCAGAAAAGACAGTTCATCATATAGATTTGAGGATGAGTAAGAAATTTTTACACATGCTTCTGCTGCACAGAGCATTGCAACTCCTCTAGTATTTATATACATGCAAAAAGCTTACACAAATCTATAAGGAGCAGAGAAATAATATATGAGTGCCTTCTATATCATGTAAAGTACCAGGACTTTATTCCTGCATCTAAGAGTGAGATGTTTTTCAGCTTCTCTTGGCTTTTTTATATTTCAGTGACGAAATGGATSTTGGAAGCAGAGGAAGAATCCACTGTACCATGAGACTCACCTGCTCTCTGTTACTCATGGCAGTGTTCTGTGTGACACCTTTTTTCTGCCACAGTCAAATTGATCCACTAGCTCTTGGGCAGGCAGACCCCCAGTGCTGGGAATCCTCCTCAGCTGTTTTACTGGAGATGAGGAAGCCTCGCATTTCTGACTCTGTCAGTGGCTTTTGGGACTTCATGATCTTTCTGAAATCCTCCGAGAACTTGAAGCATGGGGCTTTGTTCTGGGATCTGGCTCAGCTCTTCTGGGATATCTATGTGGACTGTGTGCTCTCCAGAACCCATGGCCTAGGGAGAAGGCAGATGGCAGAAGTTGAGCAGAAGATTGCTACTGTACGGTCTCAGTTCACAGAGAGAAACCAAGGTCACTACTCCTTTAATATGCATCTAATGGGCAAGAATTAGAGTGTAGTGGGAAAGAAAAGAGATTGAGGCTTATTGTGSTRTGTGGTAATAGGACAGAAACAGAGRWCAGTGCTGTGYAAAAYSTCTTACTCCTCCTGGTCAAGTGTAGAGCTCTGTTTACATTCAATGTGATTTCAGTAAAAATTTGACCTCCAAACAACCTGAACTCTAACAACAGCTTTTAAGTTTCTGTTTGATGGGGCAGGAGAAGTAGCAGAAAGTGTAAGACAGGAGGATTCAAACAAAGAAGGCAGCTCAGTAACTGAATATACTGATATATTCTGCCACACCAGCATTTTTACCACTSTTGTGCCATGAATAGGCTAGTTCTGAATTCCCCATTCTGAGAGGAAGGCATTGCACTGGTGCTGTTGGCAGCCTTTCAGCAGAAGGGTAAGGGTATATCTAWTTGCCACCTAGCAATCAGCCACTACATGTTTTCCATTTCCATACTGGTAGCTTTACCCAGCACACAATGGAAACAGACCCAGGATTTGGATGCATCCAGGCTTTCAGACACAGTTACAGCTCTAGGAAGAACACCACTACCTGTGACACTAAATGCTGCATTTCCTAGTCTCCAGGTTCCCAGCTCCAGAGAACCCCCAGACCCCTCTTCATATGCATGTCATTCACCCTTCTCAGTCTCAGAAGGGAGATACAGTGCAGCTTTTCCTACATCTCAGTCCCTTCCAAGGCTTCAGTTCTGATCCTGCTACCAAAAGAGGTATCCTTCCTTGGAGAAAATCCACTTTCAGATGGGGTAGGTGCAACAGTTTAAGGCAGAGGCAGGATCAGATCATCACCAATAGTGTAGTGCATTGGGCCCACAGTGAAAAGGCAGAACCACCCTTACACTTCAATGRATTGAGACCCTTATCTCCACTTCCTAGAGAAGCATCTTAGTCAGTAACATGTTTGGGGGAAATGTGTATGGAATAATGAAGAACCTCTCTGAACAAGTACCCATTAGAGTGTGTCTAAAAAATGAACTTAAACTCAGGGTTCTTGCACCCCAGGGACAATAYRCCACTGGAAAGTCCCACCCTTRCCCACAAACCTAAAAAATGTTTGARTATTGAAAGCTAGAATTTGGGATAGGAAGGACTGAGAGGTCCTGACCCTATTACCCACAGGCAGTATCCTGGGCACTCAGCTAGGAGATAAAGAGTGGAATCAATCCCCTCAGCCTGAGGAACTCACACACACAGGATCAGTTTCTAAAATATGAATCAAACATCCACCACGTGCATTTGAAAAGCAAGGAGTGGCTCTATCCTGCTCTGCAAAGAGTCTGTCACATAGCTCTGACTGCATCTTTACTTCTTGTTGGCATGCAGCACAGAATCCACTTCTGGTTTCCAAGTGGTCTTAGACATCATAAGGGCAACAAGTTTCTCAATCCTTACCAGAAMTGATGCACTTTTGGATGCAAAGAGAATGTAGCTTTAGACACACAAAGGAGCAGCATTGTTAAAAACTGAGATAACCCACCAGGCTAAAGCACCACATTAATTTTTGTTGAGGATTGCAGCTTTGAATATCACTGTCTAAACTCCCACTTAGCCTTTTGTTACATCTGGTTCTTCGTATCGCTATCACACTGTGATTTTCCTAAACAAAGTGCTTTTGTTCTAATCAAGATCAAGAGTAACAGTCTGATGTACTTTGAAGAATTAAATTAAGGGTTTTATGATAAATTCTGACTTTTGTTTACTCTTACACAAAGAGATTTTAAGCACTACTAAGTATTCACACCCTTTTGTTTTGTGAATTTCWRTCAGTTAATCTGGTTTCTCTGTAYAACTGATTAWCATCAGTCTCCAGCAGGCAGCTTATACCAGTGACAACCTTTTTTTTTTTTTTTGAGGAGCTATCTAATCTAACTTCTTATCCAAGTCTCCCAGTTTCTTAACAAAGCCAGCTGTTTTAATCTTTGTAACCTGTGATCCTGCTGCTTTATTTTCTCAGTGAAAGTAGAAATCAATTGGTAATAATTGCAGATAGAAATCACATAGGAAATGATAAGGAATAGAATTACCACTTACATATAAAGAGAGSTACAAACCTGTTTTCTCAACCCTACGAGCAGCATTAATGTCACTTAAATTATCTTGTGTACTTCACATCTACATTGATGGGTGTAAGTAGCTTTCATCAGGCTTGTTCTAGAAATCCAAAATAAAGGAATTTTTTTTGTTTTGTACTGTTACTTTTGCAAGAGTTGATAACTTTATGCTTCATACCACAGTTTTTCATCTTATTCTTCTTAAATAGTTAAAATTTCAATATGTCTGTGTTTGTTTTGTTGTTTTTTYWWAAATTGCTAACAGAATCATAAATCAGGAATGAGGAKCAATCTGGAAACTGCAGTCTTTGTRGTTCCTTAAACATATCACTGAATTGGAAAAGCAGAACAGAAATCTGAACTTAGCATAGACATAATGATCTCAAGGTGTTATTATTAGCATTACATTTCAGAACTCACAGATAAATCCTACTTGTGAAGATTGAATATCAGGAATTTTTCTAAGGGAAAAAAAATTCTCCAAGCAAAAAAAACCTAGCATGGCTCTTGCTAAGAGCTTCTCAGTAGTACCAAACAGACCTACTTTGTCACATCKTAGAAGTCACCCATACTTTATCCTCCTGGAAAACAATTCTCTTCAAGTGTTCATCAAGAAGTGGGAGAAGTAACCCAGTTCCAGACTTACAGATTCAAACACTGTATGCTGAACCAGTCTAGTCCCTCCAGAATTTTGACTGTGCTCACAGTCTAAACACACTGTTAAAATCTACACAATCAATGAAAAAGACTACAAAATCAGAACAGCTGAATATGAGTAATCTCACTATCTTAATTTTATGCCTAAAATCCTATATTTAACCCAGCAACATTTCAACATCCCTAGACATTCCACAGAGAAGWGTTAATCAGTTTTTAGTTGAGAGTTTTTCAGTTACCTGGCCAAGCTCTCTTTAGTAACTCATCCCTTTCCCCTAACAAAATCCAAACACTTTGAAAAAGCAGCTTTCACAAATGCATTTCCAATCCATTACAACCCTSTAGTTACATTATAGTTATAACAACTCTTAACCAAGAGACCCACAAGAAAAACATAGCTTTTGTATTCACGGCAAATCCTCCTGATAATCCCCCACAGTTCTTCAGGGAAATAACAAATGTGCTGCATGATAGTTGAGCAATCTCATCCACTGTGCAGAGGTTGAGAACAGGCCTTTGAGTCAGTAGGATTCTGAGCAGGCAAGCACTTGGATTCTGCTAATTACAAGTAGAGATTCTTATGGGAAGGCTAAAGGAAAAGGTCCATACTGAGGGAAAAGATCAAAGTGACTTGACCCTGAAAGGCAGCTTGCAAATGGCTGTCACCAGAGCAAGAGGCTTGGGGGCAATGCTGATAAAATGAGGACCAGCAGCAGCTAAAGGCAGAGGAAACACAGATGTGGGAAAGTGATTATTCAGCTGCTCTTTGCTGTTTGGAAATTATTTACTTATATGCATTTTTATGTCACTTTTCAGGGACATTTTCTCAYATTCAGAGGTCGCCAGTTCTGAAGAAGAAAGACTCATTTGAAGATTTAATAAGTATCCACATACATAACAGTAGATCTATATTACTTGGAAGAATGATTGCAGAGTTAGGAAAAAAGCGGAAATTACACATTTAGTCTAAGATCTTGATTTGTAGATTTTTTTAAACTACTTCTCTTTATTTTTTGCATTTTAATCCCCATTAATGTCAGTTTGGTAAAAGAAGGCCTGTAACCTTAAGCTCTACATCCCTGATTAACTTGGACTTATGAGTTTTCTTAATTACCARTGAATTTAGTCTCCTTACTAAACTGCATGATTTATAAGCAGTTGTCTACTTTAACCTCTGTATATATCAGGCTTTTTGTAATATATGTGATCTGTTCAAACTATCRTCTTTTGGGTGCCAAAACAGGAAATAACTGATCCTTCAATAAAGCATAGACAAGCAGAGAAGAAAGTTGTCAAAAAACCTCCACTGGCTCCAAGACAGGATTAGAGTTGAGATGGKGATGTTTGATTGCATGCATAGCTGTACACTTGTACAAAGCAACCACTGCTCAAAGACATCTTCCTGCTAAAGAAAAATAGTACATATTTCTACATGAAACTTCATGTTTTCCAGTAGAAGGGTTAACAGATTKTACCAGCTCCTCTGTTTTCACACTTAAAATGTTTAATCACAAGAATTCTCATACATAACTTGCATACACTTCTTTTTTAGCTCGCAAATTCTTTGTAGAAAAATCACATTCTTCTGACTCTTRTTGATAACCCTAATAGGCAATTTTACACTAAACTAATGCAAAATAACTTAWAACAGGTAACATTTGATGCTTTTATCATATAAATTATTTCTGTTGCTAGACCGACTAGATGCAGCTACAAATTTCATCTTTCCAGGGCAATTACATTTAGTTGTTCATTCAAAGTTTCTTTCCTGGAGCATGTATCAATATTTGTTGTGGTTTTTTATTTTTCCCAAATGCCCACAGAAAAAAAACTTGCTTCCTGGTTGTTCATCAATATGCAGAAATAGGTTCTGATAACAAAATGGATAAAGAAATCTTGAAACGGTTACTGGCTTCAGTGAAATAAGGCTTAAACACAATCCCATTGGGAGAAATCCTGACTTAAGGAAGCAAACAAAAAACTGTACGAGGGCTAAAAGCTTCAATGGCACTGCATTTGTGCTTCAAGTTAAGCATGCAATAAACCATTTAAACATTYAAGAGAGGAGGGAACACTAAAGTAGGATAAACAGAGGAACACAGTTGAGTGTACTCAACAACAGACCCCCAGTTGCAGCCACAGCCTATAAAGTGCTTTGCTACCACATGGGAGGGCACCAGGAGAATTGCTACAACAGATCTGTTCCACTCCTGTACCTATGTTGTTAATTAACTACATTATATTAATATATCTAAAAGCCCTGTTGATGCAGCTTTTATCATCATAAGATACACAGTCTTCACTCTCAGTCCCTACAGCTACCAAGATCAGCACAGTGTTAAGGGTTGGATGCCTCAGCCCAGCAGGATTGGTGTTGTAGTAGAGCAGATGTTATCTGCTCCCAAATGCTCCCAAGCTCTAGCAAATGTGAAATCTGACAGGACATCTGAACAGGTCTTGTTTGACTTAGATGCTTTTCCAACAGGGCAAGAGGTTAAKGCTTTGGGAAGAGGTTAGTGCTTCCACTTTAGATAGGTCCCTCCTGCAACAACAGGATCCCTTAGGAAATGGCTTATGACAGCTTTCTTCCTCCCTTCAGACAGAAGCACCACTGGGCCAAGATGATATTTAGCTTAAGTGAATTTGCAAAACTTCTCTGCTTGAGTGAGCTTMTTAATTAATAGGCTGTAGCAAAATTCAGCCTTTGAGGCAATGGTCTGGAAAGGATGTGGAGGAAAGACTGACAAAACAGATCAATCTCTAGGGCAGATCACACTATGGAGAACATTTGGAAATTGCTGATGTAAAGAGACAATCTGTGTTATTARTTGCACTGAAATAAAAAACAGGATGCAACTAACTACATGTAAACCTGAAAGTGACAGAGTGCAAGTGATAAAAGAATGGCTATGTTAAAAAAAAAGCAAGGGGTCTGAGATGAAAGAAGATATGCTATACAGGAACATTTAAAAAGGTCACTGTGTTTAAAGACAGGATATTGCCTCCTACCATTGTTCCTTGTACACTTCATGGCAGACCTTTRAGTGAGCTAGGATTGTTTTTACAGATACTGTTCCTGACTTACTGTTTCTCAATCAGAGTGTGTGACAAAAAGGATGGGATGAACATGTCTGACTGACATTTCTTCACTGGGAGCTGAACTGAATAACAACARAATAAAGACCTTGTGATTTTGTCCCTTTCATCTTACAGGGAGCTGGAGACTAAACAACTGCTTCTTAGCATGGAAAACATTTCTTTGAGTCTTTACATATTGCCATGAAAGAAGAGTTCATGGTGGCTCTGGAAAATCTATTTGTAAGCATTTGTACTCGTTGTCTTCAGACTAAACCAGCATTTGTCAGTTGCTACAGTTTCCAACCAAGTTTAATTCAGCTGCACACAACTAGCAGGAGATTTAAAGCCTTGTCAGAAGCTGATGGGTATCAGCAGTTACTGAATCAACAGTTAGGTTCCTTGGATTGTTGTGTGTGTCKCTTGGCACTGACATATTGCAAAAGTTACTAAGCTTCTACCTCACAGTATATTTATATATGTTATGATATGGGTATATCCACTTTCCAATGACCTCATCACTATTTTTTCTCTGGAGTCCTCCCTCCTCCCTCAAGAAGTTTCTTTTCTTTTTCACCCTTTTTACACTTCCTTTGCTAGAAACAAACCACTTGTTACCTTCGAGTAGCATACCATTATTTGTTGCTGTAAATTCTTGAGTGTTTGCAGTGTGTGCAATTCAGGCCTCCTTTGACCAATGTTAGCAGAGAGAACCAGGAATGTTCATTAATCACACTACCACCGTGTAAGGTCTTTTAAGAAGATGGCTGAGGTGCTATGAACTGAAAATAATCTTTCTAGCCTCTTTAATGACTCAGGTAGTCCCTTTATCTTGATTATTATTCATTCTGAAAAATACAACACAAGGAAAATCTGTGTGGAAAATATATGTGGAGTCCTGCTGAGCAGCTTTTCTAAAGCCTTATGCTTTTMATTTCATTATCCTTTTCAATCACATCAGCATAAACCCTGTTTGATTATATATGAAACAAAGCTTCAGAATATATCATTTACCTTACTTTTCTCCCATAGCTTCCAAAAATATTTTTGAATTTTTTTTCACCCAAGCAAAATTTATTTTCTTTGTAATCACAGAAAAAATCCTGTAAAAACTAGGAGTATTTTCTTTMTTGGAAAGCTGGTATAGTTTCAGTGACATAACCAAAATCCTTAAAAGTATGCAAATTTTCTTGAACCATAACTGGTTTTGAGCATACACAAACATATTCACTATTTTYATGCACCTCCTGCAAAACAGTGATRATAAGTAGCTGACTCTATATTATTTTCTCTCTGAAGTGGTACTGAACAATTCCCATTTCTCAGMTCTTTAAAATCCTTCTGTGCATTACAGGGAAAAGAACATTTTCCTTGTTGCTGGCATCACCAAGAAATACAGCATCATTCCAAGGAAGTAACTTGACCATGGGATATCAACAGCTAATGAGAAAGAAATGGGCAATCGTTTGCACTGCTCAGGAATCCACAGCCCAGGAGCTGGAAATCACCAATAGAAATGGAACATAGCTCTCCAAAATGTCCCTGGTGAAGTCAGTAAATGCAGAAATCTGTCACGCTGTGTTATTACAAGGCAACATCTGAGACGCTTTAAAAAGAGACATGAATTACCTTAAGTAGTTCAGTGAAGTTGTAAGGTGAATGGTAGTTTCCATCATTTACAAGCTGGTGAAATTACTTGGTTGATGAGATCAGAAAAGGACCTGCAAACCTGCTCAGCTGTAGAGAAGARCTCCTGGTGCAAAGCAGTTTGTTGTGCTGAAAAGCAGAATCRATTTTAAGTATTTCCAAGCTTTTGGATTCTGCCAGAGCTGTAGAAATAAATTTCTTTATAAATTTCTAAGATACCTCTGTAGAAACARCAGCCTTTTCTGTCATCTTCCTTATTACATCCTCATTATCAAATGAGAGGCATCTGGAGCATTGAACACAGCTCTGTTGTATAAGACCATTGATTACAGGAGGATTTTGTACTGCTGGAATTCTCCTGGGACTAGAGTTATAGTTACAGTGCCACAGAAGTGGCAAGAGCAAAGACCTCCAGAACCCTCACCAGTTTAAGTTTGCTCCTTAATTGAATGCCAAGACTGATTACCTCTTAGGAGCTTTGACTCATCCAGTTTCAAATCAGTCTAACGTTAGGGGTTATATTTGGAATATGCTCTACCTTACAATAGAGAATAGTACTACAAAGGCTAAGGCAAGATTCTGAGTTTCCTCTGAGGGTTACATGATTAGGAACAATATTACAGAGTAAACTGGATGAAGGTAAGAGGACAGTGTCAGGATGATTGGAGAATGTATACCTGTTTGGGTTTGGAGAGACAATGCATCCTTCAGTTTCATCATAAGCAGTTCCACTTCCTCTCCGAGTTCCTTCTCATCAGGTGATATCTGCACCGCAGTGGGAATAAGAACTGTATTTTTCATGATTCCACTGACAGCGTTTTCTGTCAATTTAGGTGGATATGTTTGTTTCTCTTTTGTTTTTTTATGCTGTCCCATATAGGATTTGTCATTCTGCAGGGACACAGACTCCAGTGAGTCATCTGAGAGGATAAAGTCCACTGCAGGGGGAACCTCAGGTGTCTGCAAAAGCTGCATTCTATTTGCAGGGTTTGGGGGACTCAAAGATTTCCATTCTGCATGTGTTCTGGGAGTAGGCCTTATTCGGGCAGGATTCAATCCATCCTGTGTTCTCCTTTTCAGCAGAACATGTGGATTTCTTGGCATTGTATTATGACACTGTGCAAAAGGATGCTCTGATGATGACTGCAACATTGTCTACAACAGAAAAAACACAGAAAATACACTGTGAAAACAATTGATATTTCAGTTTGCCAGTAGTATTAAAACAGCATTGCAGAAAATGCTACAAAAATGCTGTAGTGGAAAAATGCTTCTTCTGTGAAATAAGGGCCTTTCTAGACTCTCTGAAATAATTGTAATGATGAAGAATAGTTATCTGCCTTGCTTAGTTACAATTGCAAACAAATAAAGTATTTTCTGTAACATCTATATAACATCCCAGTAAAAGACAGCAATTAAAAATGACATTTTATTTATTCAATGCCAGTTCTCTGAAGAACAGACTGCAATGAAGTAGCTAACACTTCTGTTGGAAACCATTTCTCACTCTTACTAGAATATCCATTATTTTCATTTCAGTRGTATTTAAACATCCTAACATGGATATCTGTGCTAGATGCCAGATATACACAAGTAAATCCCTACTGCAAAGACCTTATCTGCTTTCTCTGAAGAGAAGAACCTAAGATGACCAGAAACACAAGTGGAAGGTGCATGAAGTAGTATCAAGGGTGCTGTTCTGCAGGGAAAGCAGTAGTGTTCAGTATAGCTCATAGCTGTGATGATTCTTGCTGAATCTATCACTATACCTTTACTTCTTCCTTCATGTGCTGCAGCGTCAGTTGTAGGTTTTCATGGCTTACTCTCAGTCTTTGGAGTTTTGCCTCTATTCTGCAGCTTTTTTCTTCCTGGCAGTTATGAAGAAATTGCATTTTGTCCTTCCATTTGTTGAACTG